TCCCTGTCTTGTTCCTGTTCTTAGGGGAAATGGTGTTAGTTTTTGTCCATTGAGTATGATGTTGGCTGTGGGTTTGTCATATATGGCTTTTATTATGTTGAGGTATGATCCTTCTACTCCCGCCTTGCTGAGAGTTTTTATCAAAAATGGGTGTTGGATTTTGTCAAATGCTTTTTCTGCATCAATTGATATGACTGTGTTTTTTTTCTTTCAATTTGTTTATGTGATGTATCACGTTTATTGATTTGCGGATACTGTATCATCCTTGCATCCCTGGGATAAATCCTACTTGGTCATGGTGTATGATCTTTCTGATGTACTGCTGGATCCAATTTGCTAAGATTTTGTTGAGGATTTTGGCATCTATGTTCATGAGGGATATTGGCCTGTAATTCTCTTTCAATGTGTTGTCTTTACCTGGTTTTGGTATTAGGGTGATGCTGGCTTCATAGAATGAGCTTGGAAGTGTTCCTTCCTTTTGAATTTTTTGTAGTAGTCTGAGGAGGATAGGTTTTAGTTCTTCCTTGAATGTTTGGTAAAACTCCCCTGTGAAGCCGTCTGGTCCTGGGCTTTTGTTTGCTGGAAGCTTTTTGATGACTGCTTCAATTTCTTCCATAGTTATTGGCCTATTGAGATTTTTAGATTCTGCCTGATTGAGTTTTGGAATGTTGTATTTTTCTAGGAATTTGTCCATTTCCTCCAGGTTGTCTACTTTGTTGGAGTAGAGTTGTCCATAGTATTTTTTAACAATCATTTGTATTTCTGTGGGATCTGTTGTTATTTCGCCTCTATCACTTCTGATTTTGTTTATTTGGGTCCTCTCTCTTGGTTCTTGGTGAGCTTGGCTAGAGGTTTGTCAATCTTGTTTATCCTTATATTGTTAATGTGAATTCCAAATCACAATCTTAAAGGTTCCAAGTAGTTCCCCGTATTTCTCCTTTTTAGGCCATTACTAGAATTTCTATATCTAAATGTTCACATATATACAGATATTTTGATTGTGCTTTTATGCTATTTGCCCAGCAGCCACTGTGGTATATTGAGAAAAGTGCTGGACAGGCAAACAGAATATGTGACCAGCTCTGTGGGAATTGATTTGTCACTTGGAGGAAGTTACATTCTGGCCCTGTTTCTCTATCTAAAATAAGGCTGTTAGATTAGGTGATACATTTTGTGTCTTTTAGTGATAACATTCAGTGATTCAATGCCTATTCATTAAATAGACATTAGAATAACTTACTGAGCTCTTATGTTTTCTAAGTGACTACATTTTTATTGCTCAAAAAACCCCCACATGAAAATAAATGTCTAGATTAATATTGTGAATACATCCTGAGTATACGGTAATTCAGTCAATCCAGAAAATACTTATCGACCCTTTTTCTGTGCCTACCATTGGACTAAACTCAAGGTGTCCAGGAATAGTGAGTATATATCATAGTCCTTAGTCTCCATAGAGAAAAGACTTAGATACATGGAATAGATGAACAATAAAAGATCTGAAGTCAGTAACAGGGGGAACATTTTAGCTTTATGGAGGAAGTGGGAATTATCTTTTAAAATATATTTTTAAAATTTATTAATTTTCAGGGAGAGAAACATTGATTTGTTGTTCTACTTATTTATGCATCCATTGGTTGATTCTTGTATGTACCCTGACTGGAGATCAAAACCGCAACCTTGGTGTATTAGATGATGCTCGAACCAACTGAGCTACCCGCCCAGGGTTGGGAATTGATCTTGAGTATAAGATTAGGAAAGATTTCAGGATGGGGTGAAGAGGGTGTGAGGTAGGTATAGCAGGGGAGACCAGCACAAAGGCCCAGAGGTAGCAGGAAGTCTATTGAAGAACAGCACCAACAAAGCAGGAGCCCCTCGGATAGACTTCACCTTGATATCTAAACACATGTAAGTACAGCATTTCCTAAAAGCAAGAAACATGAATTCTATTTATTAATTGTATTACTAACGTCTATAATCAAAACAGAAGGCAGTTATACAGAATTTCAAACAAACCCAAATACAAAATGCATAGATTCAATTTATTTCTTCAGTGTATTCATAGTTAGAACATATGCAAACATTTATTTATTTATTTATTTATTTTTAATTAAATCTTTATTGTTCAGATTATTACAGTTGTTCCTCTTTTTTCCCCCCATAGCTCCCCTCTACCCGATTCCCCCCCCCACCCTCCGCCCTCACCCCACCCCCGCCACTGTCCTCATCCATAGGTGCACGATTTTTGTCCAGTCTCTTCCCACATCCTCCACACCCCTTTCCCCCCGCCAAGAATAGTCAGTCCACTCCCTTTCTATGCCCCTGATTCTATTATAATCACCAGTTCATTCTGTTCATCAGATTATTTATTTACTTGATTTTTAGATTCATTTGTTGATAGATGTGTATTTGTTGTTCATAATTTGTATCTTTACCTTCTTCTTCTTCTTCCTCTTCTTAAAGGATACCTTTCAGTATTTCATATATACTGGTTTGGTGGTGATGAACTCCTTTAGCTTTTCCTTATCTGTGAAGCTCTTTATCTGACCTTCAATTCTGAATGATAGCTTTGCTGGATAAAGTAATCTTGGTTGTAGGTTCTTGGCATTCATCACTTTGAATATTTCTTGCCACTCCCTTCTGGCCTGCAAAGTTTCTGTTGAGAAATCAGCTGACATTTGTATGGGTACTCCCTTGTAGGTAACTGACTGTCTTTCTCTTGCTGCTTTTAAGATTCTCTCTTTGACTTTTGCTCTTGGCATTTTAATGATGATGTGTCTTGGTGTGGTCCTCTTTGGATTCCTTTTGTTTGGGGTTCTCTGGGCTTCCTGGACTTGTAAGTCTATTTCTTTCACCAGGTAGGGGACGTTTTCTGTCATTATTTCTTCAAATAGGTTTTCAGTATCTTGCTCTCTCTCTTCTTCTGGCACCCCCATAATTTGGATGTTGGTACGCTTGAAGCTGTCCCAGAGGCTCCATACACTATCATCATATTTTTCGATTCTTTTTTCATTTTGCTTTTCTGGTTGGCTGTTTTTTGCTTCTTTGTATTTCAAATCTTTGACTTGATTCTTGGGATCCTCTAGTCTGCTGTTGGAACTCTGCATAATATCCTTTATTTCAGTCAGTGTATGCTTAATTTCTAGTTGGTCCTTTTTCATAACCTCGAGGGTCTCACTAGATTTCTTGAGGGTCTCACTACATTTATCGGCGGTCTCACCAGACTTTTTGAGGGTCTTACTAAATTTATCCGTGGTTTCTAGTAAGTTCTTGAAAAACCTTAAAAGTGTGGTTTTGAACTCTATATCCAGTCATTTGCTTTCCTCCATTTCTGTCATTTGTGACCTGTTTCTTTGTCTCCATATTTTTTATGCTTCCCTGTGTTGGTAGAGTGGCTTTGTGTGCTAGGTGTCCTATAGGGCCCAGTGGCTCAGCCTCCCCAATTACCAGAGGTGGACACTCTTGGTGCACCCTTTTGTGGGCTTTGTGCACAGTCTTGTTGTAGTTAAGCCTTGACTGTTGTAGGTATCACTGGGAGGAATTGACCTCCAGGCCAATTGGCTGTGAGAGTCAGCTGTGTCTACGGTGGGAGAACTTCTGTGCTGGAGACACCCTTATGAGGCAAGACTTGCTTCAATGGGGCTTTGGTGCTCACCGAGTCTGCCCCCTGAGTGTGTCCCTTATGGATCTGAGGAGTTGTAATTGGATGGTCCCACTCTGACCACTGGGTACACTGGCTCTTGGATCTAAGGAGATGCTAATTTAGCCTCTTCCTGAGGCTACCCAGCAGGAGCTACAAAGAGATCTGCAAATTCCCCTTCCTTGTTTGGGGTTTGGAGGTGCCCAAATGAGGCCCAGCTGTGAAGCAATGCAAGCTGCTGTGGAGCATTGGGCCTTCTCTTGGAAGTTCTGAGTCTGTCTTGCCCAGCTGCAGTTTGTTAGGTAATTTTCAGATTGCAAAGGGCCAGGGCAGTCATATGCAAAAGCCTCTGCCGCAGCTTGGGTGGGGCAGGGTCTCAGAGAATCAACAGGGCGGAGCAAGCAGCTATGGCTGATCCTTGCAAACATTTATTTATTGAAGTTAACTTTCAGTTAGTTACACAAATGAAAGGAACTTGTAGGGACTATGCCATAGAAATCTATACTTATAATAGGATAATATGCAAATTGGTCGGAAAGCTGTCATTTAACGACCAATCAGCAGGCTGCGTCCCTACCCCCTGCACTGGCCTGGAGACATGAGGCTCATGTCCCCGACCCCGGCAACAGCCCCGGGATGTGAGGCTCACGTCCCCGTCCCCCGCACTGGTCTGGAGACTTGAGGCTTGTGTCCCCGATCCTGACAATGGGTCCTGGGACATGAGGCTCGCGTCCCCATTCCCCCTGTGCCGGCCCACGTATGTGAGGCTTGTGTCCCTGCACCCTCTAATTAATTCCCTTTTAATGTGCATGAACTTCGTGCACTGGGCCACTAGTAACTCAATAATTCACTAACTCACAATTGAGGAGATAGTGGGATTTTGATGTTTGGAACCTAATGATTTAACTGAGTAGTCTTTAGGTAGGTCAGAGCCTTGGTATTTCTGAAAGTGTTGTGGCTCCTAACATTCTAACTGATTCAGGCTTAAAGAAATATAGAAAAAAATCCTTGATACTTCCAAGGGTATAAGTTAGTTGTTTTTCCAATACAGATACTGAATTCTTTTTTATTAAAATAATTTTATTTTTTAAGAAAAGCATTTAGATCAGCGGTTCTCAACCTGTGGGTCGCGACCATTGGAAAACACATATAGCATATCAGATATTTACATTATGATTCATAACAGTTGCAAAATTACAGTTATGAAGTAGCAACGAAAATAATTTTATGGTTGGGGGTCACCACAACATGAAGAACTGTATTAAAGGGTCGCGGCATTAGGAAGGTTGAGAACCACTAATTTAGATTATGTTTGCATAGTCTGAAATAGTTTGTGCTGAAGTAAATGTTTCTTTTGCAGGTGCAGTAGTGCTTCGCGTTGCAAAATCATGGTTTAGAATCGGATCATTAGAAATTTTGACTCATTATGGTGAACTGGATTTACTAAGGTTAGAAAATGACATTTGTTAAGTGGTAGAAGATAATTGAAAAATGCTTGTTTATGTGTTGGGAAGTTAACTTGTGTGTGTGGGCCGGGGGAATGGGGGGAGAGAAAAGCAAGCAAGAATTTATTGACTGCAGCAAAAATATACTTAGGACAATGAAAGAAGGGAGGGCACAGAAGAAGCAACAGGAGAGCCTAGGCTGGGCTGCTTTAGTTCACGGGGAATTCAGAGAAAAGTGGGCCTTGGAGACAGGTTCAGGGGGTTAGCCCAGATGGAGCTGCTGCTGCCCATTGCTCCCCTGATTGCAAGTCTCATGGGGTCCCTTAGAAGTTAGGGAATACGTGCCTTTGAGGAAAGGAGAGGGGGAAGAGAATGGCATGGGCATGCTCCCTGGAGGGAGAGCACCAAGTTAAATATTTTTGGTTTTCTATAAATAAGTATACTTATTTTATTTATTTATTTAATCCTCATTGAAAGATATGTTTTTATTGATTTTAAAGGAGGGGGAGACAGAGAGGGAGGGAGGGAGGGAGGGAAGGAGGGAGAGAGAGAGAGAGAGAGAGAAGAGAGAGGGACATCAGTTGGCTGCCTTCAGTGTGCTCCCCGACTGGGGATCAAACCTGAAACCCAGGTATATGGCCTGACCGGAAATTGAACCAGTAGCCCTTTGGTGCATGGGACAGTACTCAACCAACTGAGCCACTCTGGCAGGGCTGTTCTGTTGTTTTTATACTTCGTATATATATTTCCATTATTGCATGCATTGTGCTGTAATGTCATTATTTTTTATATGTTATCCTCTAATCAACTATATGTTTTTTGAGGGCTGGGCCTGAGTCTTATCCTTCTTCTTCCTATCACTTGCACAGGGCTTGTAGATATTCCATGGATGTTTATTGATTAATCTGAATTTGTAACATAATAAGATGGTATCTAATATGATGTTAGAAACATAGTTCCAGTTTTGATTAATATTGAGGAAATATTTCTCTATTGCTGTTTTGGGGGTACAGTCTTATTTTAATTTTTAAAAATTTTAAGTGTGAGCCCTAGCTGGTTTGGCTCAGTGGGTAGAGTGTCGGCCTGCAGACCAAAGGCTCCCGGGTTCCATTCCAGTGAAGGGCATGTACCTTGGTTACAGGCTCCTCCCTGGCCTGGGCCCTGGTCAGGGCTCATGCAGGAGGCTACCAATCAATGTGTTTCTCTCAAATTGATGTTTCTCTCTGTCTTTCTCTCTCTCTTCTATTCTCCCTAAAAATCAATGGAAAAATATCCTCAGGTGAGGATTAACAAAAATATTTAAAATAAAATAAAATTTTAAGTGTGGAATCTAATGAATTAATGAATTGCAGGGTGGATTTAGGTGATTGGATATTCAATACTGTATTCTGAGGAACACTGATGCTATCTCCTTTTAATTTCCAGGACATTATTAGATTTCATCATACAGGAACATTTCCCCTCAGTAGATATCAAAGAACCTAATAGATATGTGGTAAGTTTTTATTTATTTTTTAAAATATATTTTTCAGAAAAGAACAGCATCCTTGGTGCTCTGACTTCCCTTCTCTGGGGCTAAGCCCATGAAAAGGCCCGTTGTCCGGGGCTAGTGAACCAGAGGGTGTTTGCCGGCCTGGCTTTGCTGCTTGCATCTGCGGGACCCACCCCTCCTCCATCCCCACCCCCGCTGGTCCCGGGCTCACCTTCCACTGGATCTGATTGGTTGGTGGACCTGGGTAGCCTCGAGGCCCTGTGGGGTTTGGGGCCTGAACAAAACAGATTCCCTGCTCTGAGGAGCTTGATGACATCACTACAGGATCACACTCTAGATGCCCCCTCTTGCTGCCCCACCCCCGCAGGACACGAAAAATCTTGAGGAAACTAGCTGAGCCGTTGCAACATGAAGGAATGGATTTACTGAAACAAAACTGTAGCTTTTTTGTCCTTTCTGAAGGGCCAGAATATGTAATTTTTTTCTAACAAAGGAAGTCAAGTCAGATGGCTAGTAACTCTAGGTGATCACTCATTGGTACTTGGCCCAGGGGTACTTTGGGGGAGTCAGGTTAATTTAATAACCATTACACTTTCCTTCGTAAACGCCTATTTCCTTTAACAGTTTAGACACAGCTGGGGGGTGTTCTGAGGTGATCCCATGTGGTAAACTTTGGTTTATGCTGTTGGTTGGTCAGAGCTCCCACCCTGGCTTCTCAACCGACACGGGCACCCTGGGGTGGGCACCCCCCGCTCTGACCAGCTCTGGGGCTGGACTCTGCTCACTTGGAGTGGTTTTGGGCCCCAAAGCCTTGGCTCCTGTTGGTTTGTCCCAACAGCAGACAAAGCCTCACATTGCCCTCAGTCCCCCCTTTTTCTTTTGAAGGACCAATTTTTCATGGTACTTGTCCTGATTGTTTTCATAGTGTTCAAATCTGTATTTTTGTATGTAGAGGGAAATAATTTTCTCAACACTAACCGCTAATATTGTATTAAATTGTCATGAAGGAGTTCTTGTTTAATAAATGGACATGTAAAAATGAAAAGAAAAAAAAATATATTTTTCATTGATTTCACAGAAGAAGGAAGAGGAAAAGAGAGATAGAAGCATTAATGAGGAGAGAATCATTGATCGGCTATCTCCTGCACATCCCCCACTGGGGATCGAGTCCACAACCTAGGCATGTGCCCTGACCAGGAATCAAACCATGACCTCTTGGTTCATCGGTTAATGCTCAACCACTGAGCAGCACTGTCTGGGCTGTGGTAAGTTTTTAAAGAGAAAGAGCAATACTTTTGCTTTCTCTCATTGGCCAGCCAATATTAGTAGTTACACCTTAGGACTGAAAAAAATTCAGTTAGGCAAGGAAATATAGAGCATCATGAACATTTTAGAGGAACTTAAGATGAACCACTTCATAAATAAGGCATAGATAAGGAAGTTGTTTCCTTTGAAAGTTATCTAGAAGAAAAGAATAGGTGCTACTACATCCTAACTGTATACATTTTTGTTGTTGTTAATCCTTCCACAAGGATACAATCAAGGTTTGAGCCCTTGACCAGAATCAAACCCAGGACCCTTTGGTCTGCAGGCTGATGCTCTATCCACGGAGCCAAACTGGATAGGGCTGAATACATTATTTTTTGAGAAGCACTTATAAGTTGACCACATATATTCTTCTCTCACCCATTATATTTCTAAAATAGTAGTTCTAAAGTAAACATAATAGGAAAATGTGATTTTCTATTTTTGTGAAAAAATTTTATTCTTTTAAGAGTCACAGAGAAGAGAATCCATTATTTTTCTTGGTGACTCATTTTAAAGTTTATTAGTTCACTTCACTTACATTTAACTCCCTTGTGCTGAATTCTGATGCTTTTTCCTTTTTTTGTTAATCCTCACCCAAGGATATTTTTCCTGTTGATCACTAGAGAGAGTGGGGAAGAGAGGAAGGGGAAGAGACAGAGCGGGGAGAGGGGGAGGAGAGAGAGAGAGAGAGAGAGAGAGAGAGAGAGAGAGAGAGAGAGAGAGAGAGAGAAAGAGAAATAATCAATGTAAAAGACATCCATCAGTTGCCTCCTGCACCCTGGCTGGGGATCGAACCTGCAACCCAAGTACATGCACTTGACTGGGAATTGAACCTGAGACCCTCTGGTGTATGAGCCAGGCTCTAATCACTTAGCAACACCAGCCAGGGCACTTTTTCCTTTTTTTTATTGGACATGGAGAAAGCCTGGTCATCATGCTGTGTATGAGCCTTTTATATATTATTTCTAATTGAATAATTTTATGTTCTTCCATATATAATTTCTATTTATTTAGTCATCTGTTGGCTAGCCTTTATAAAATCTGAAATTTTCTTTAGGAATTTTTTTCCATTGTGGTATCTGAGACGGCACAACTGATTGCTCTATGGATGTCTATTGGTTTTGCTCATGGTAAGTTATCTATTAATGTTTCACTCGCCGATGAGAAAGTAGAATGAATCTGTAGAGACAGAAGACTTCTTTTTTATGTATTTCAAAATATTCCTGCTGATGGACTTCTTAACATTTATAACATACTAGAGGCCCAGTGCACAAAATTAATGCATGGGAGGTGTGGGGGGCTCCCCTCAGCCTGGCCTGTGCCCTCTCTCAATCCGGGACCCCTCAGGGGATATCAGACCTAAACTGGCACTCGGACATCCCTCTTGCAATCCAGGACCATTGCGTGCACTAGTGACCATACTTTTCATACAAGTGAAAGGAATCTTGCTGTTGTATGTGCAGCTACATTTTTTTTGCCCTGATTATAAAAAGTAGTACATAACATAATCCTATTGAGGCAGTAGTACCATTTTCCTCCATCTTATGGGTGGAAAAACTGAAGCAGAGAGGAGTTAGGTAATTGGCTTTGTCACACAGTTACAAGTGTCAGAATCAGGGCTGACCACAAAATGTGCAAGCCAGAGTCCATGCATGTCATCGCTGCATCATCCTGTTTTTTCAGTGTTAGAATAGCCTTGCCAGGTTTTAATTTTTAAATCTTAAGAGACTGTTCCCAATATATAGGGTATGGTCCCTAGGCCTGGTTGGCGATCAGAGCCGTCTGTGGGGTGACTGGCAGGCAGGGCGATGGGGGGGGGGGGGGGGGCGTTGAGTGTCTGACCCCTGGTGATCAGTGCACATCATAGCGACCGGTTGTTCTGCTGTTCGGTCAATTTGCATACTAGGGTTTTATTATATAGGATGAGTTTGTTTTTAGCAACAGAGAAACAATTTGCTCATGTTTAAAGTGGTTTTGAATTGAATAGTGTACATAAAATAGAATAAGAATGACCTTATGAGTATATATTTAGATTTCCTTAAAGGTATTTTTTAAAGTCTTAATTATAAAGTACTAGAGGCCCGGTGCATGAATTTGTGCACCAGTGGGGTCCCTTGGCCTGGCCTGCCTGCAGGATCAGGCCGAAACCTGCTCTCTGACATCCCCCAAAGGGTCCCAGATTGTGAGAGGGTGCAGGCCAGGCCAAGGGACCCCACCAGTGCACGATCAGGCCTGGGGAGGTATGTGGGAAGTTGGCCAGCTGGGGAGGGACCTCAAGAGGGCTCCAGGGCGTGTCTGGCCTGTCTCGTTCAGTCCTGATTGGCCGGACCCCAATAGCAAGCTAACCTACCAGTTGGAATGTCTGCTGCCTGGTGGTCAGTGCATGTCATAATGAGCGGTTGAGTGGTCTTAGCATATCATTAGCATATTATGCTTTGATTGGTTGAATGGATGACTGGATGACCGGACATTTAACACATTAGGCTTTTATTATATAGGATTACCTGCTTATGGTAAAGAATTTAAAATATAGGTCATTTTAAGTTCCATTCTCTAGGATAATCATTAACAATTTCATATCAAGTTTTCTAGACTATGTTGATGATATTCGTATGTCTCCTACAAAAACAGCAAGGTAGCATTGCAAGGAATATCTGCCTGAACCATGAATAACTGAAAAGCAAGTTCTGTATATACTAAGGTCTCTAGATAAATACCACAGGAGGACTTCACATTGTAGAACTTCTTGAAGTTGGCTTGCAAAATTTCTTGAAACTGGCTTTAATTTTCTCACATGCTCTGTATCTCTCTTAGGGCTGGATGGGAAACAGGGCAGGTGTTTCAGAGTTTTTGCTATTATGAACTGTGTTGCAGTGACCACCATGAAACTACATCTTTGTATTCTCAAAGATGAGTTTTTTAAAAAAATTTAATATGTTTTTGTTGATTTCAGAGAGGAAGGGAGAGGGACAAAGAGATAAAAACATCAGTGATGAGAGGGAATCATTGGCTGCCTCTCACTAGGGATCAAGCCCACAACCGAGTCATGTGCCCTGATCGGGACTGAATTGTGACCTCCTGGTTTGACGCTCAACCTCTGAGTCTCTGAGGCCAGGCTCGAAGATTAGTTTTTTAAGTAAACCCCTAAAAGTGGAATTGCTGGGTTAGAGAGTCTGTACATTTATCATTTTGATAAACAGAACCATCTTCCTCTGAAAAAGGTTGAAACCCTCTCTATTGAATACTGTGCCACCATGCCCAAGAACCCATATTAGGCTGGTGTGTCCATGGCCTCCTCCGAACCCACACTCAGCCTCCATTCATGAGCCCTGCACCTAAGCGGTCTTTCTCGCCCCACCTCCCACACTGCTTGTGGTCTGCAACTCAGTACTGTTAATGTGGGTAGGTATCCACATTTTCATCTTCTCCCCTTCTCACAGCCTTTGAAAATTAATTTTATTCCTTTACTAGTCTCAGTTCCATTCCAAATAACACATATTTTAAACAACTGCTAGAAATTGAGAATAAATAAGAGGAAGTTTTATTTCTTGGGACTAAAGTATTGAAAATGTTTGGGGACAGAGGAGTATAAAACAAAAGGCTACATTTATTTTTAAAATATAGTTGTAATATAAAACTATTTGTCTTCTTTAATTAAACTTTTCAATTGATAATTAAATTTTGCTTCATTAAATTTTGCTTTCTAAAAAAAAAAAATGCATTTCCATGACCTTTTCCATTCTGGAAAATTTTATATGGTTAAAAAATGCTTTTGTTATTTTATCATGTTTTTGTAAATCTTTGTTGTTTTAGGTGTTTGTAATACTGATAACTTCAGTTTGTTATCCATTACAATTGACTATGGTCCATTTGGTTTTATGGAAGCCTATAATCCAGGTATGTATGATTTATATGTATATATAGATACCTTATTTCACAAGTTTATTTTAGATAAACTGTTATAGCTAATACAATGATGGGGTAGTAAAAGAACTGAGATCATTTGTAGAATGGTAGTTTTGTGTTGTACTCAGTCTTCTAGGTGCTATAGGGATACAAAAATGAATTCTTTGTAACTCCTGCCCTTAAAGAATTACATGTTAGTGAAGATGACCTGAAGGACAGTAGGGAATATGTTGTCAGACAGATGTGAGTTTGCTTTCGGGCATCTGACCCTTAACGGCTCTGTGCCCTTGGACAAGTTAACTTAACCTCTCACTTACTAACATATAAAATGGAGCTAACACTAATATAATACTTGACTGTGGAAGGATGAGAGAGGGCTTTGTGGACAACATACTACTTGAGTTGGAGTTTGAAATCTGTATTTGATGACCTGGAAATTCTTGTAGGTTAGAAATGTATTTATCTATTAGGTACATATTCACATTATAAAATATTTTCATGTGTATGGACATTAAATATTTATATTACTTTTGAGTTAAATGTTTAATGTTAGAAAAAGTTTTACCTAATAAATAGAAATTTATTAAGTTTAAATATAAATTAAAAAATGAAGAAAACAGCTCTTTGTTGTAATTATCCTTATTATATAAAGATAGAATTTTTGTGTTAAACAGATTTTGTGCCAAACACATCTGATGATGAAAGAAGATATAAAATAGGAAATCAGGCCAATATTGGGATGTTTAATTTGAATAAGTTGTTACAAGCTCTAAACCCATTACTGGATCCAGGGCAAAAGCAGCTGTGAGTAAATCCTAAACCTACCAATTAAATCTGTGTGAAAATATATTTGTAAAATGATCATTTTTTATTTTTATTGATTTCAGAAAAGAAGGGAGAGGGAGAGAGAGAGGTAGAAACATCAATGATGAGAGAGAATCATTGTTTGGCTGCCTCCTGCATGCCCCCTACTGGGGAAAAAATGATCATTTTTGAAAAACAAGAAAGTGACATTTTGAAAACCAGCTTATTATTTAGTCTTTAATAATGACAGCATTTCAAACTCTACTTTTCTCTAGTTCAGTTTTGGCTTTTTTCCATAGTTACCAGGATAAGTTGTTTTCATATTTATTGCTTTTTAGATGTGAAATTTTAGTTTATTTCTTCTTTGATCTAAGAGTTCTTTATCACTGTTTCTTAATGTCTAAGTAGTCGGACTTAGTATGTCCATATTTTTGTGATCAAAGAATGTGTTTGGTAAAATCTGCCATTCAAAATGCGTTAAGGATTCTTTATGGCATAGCCTTGCTTTACCTTAAGAGCGAGGGCCTAAAAAAAAAAAAAAAAAAAAAAAAAAAGAGTGAGGGCCTGCAGCAGCCACTGGGTCCCGGATTGTGTTAGGATTTTATTGATCTACCACTGGGCATTGCATTTCTTGAGGGCAGGGACCACATTTTATTCATTTCGGTGTCTCCAGTGTATTTGCTAGAAGATAATACATATTTTGTTTTACACTCTCCTCTCTACCTCCAATAAAAAATTTACAGTACAAGATCTCAAGTGGAAGACAAGGCATATAGCTATTTTATTAATCCCAGGCAGCAAAAAATTACTACAATAAAGATTTTTAAAAGTTTATATCCATACCTGGTTTTCTTATTTAACTAATTAATTAATAACTATATTGGTAATACAGTCACATAATTAAAAATCAAAGTGATATAAAATGATATTCATTAAGCAGCCTTTATCCCACTCTAGTCTCTATTAATTTTATATCTCTTTAGCTCTGCAGAGTTCATTCAGTCATTCTACAAATATTTATTGAGGTGCTCAGTATGTGCCAGACACTGTTGTAAGTGCTAAGGGGATAGCAATGAATAAAACAGCACAATAATTGTGCCCTGATAGTGCTTACTTTTGGTGGGAGAGACAGTCAATAAACTGTAAATAAGTTATATAGCATATTAGAAGGAGTTAAATGCTATAGAGAAAAATAAAGCATTAGGTAGAGAGTATAGGGAGGGAAAGAAAGTTTGCAGTTTTAAAGGATGGTCAGCAAAGAACTTGAGTAAAGGCTCAAAGGAGTAACAGGAGCAAACTATGCAGGTATCCACAGGCTAGCGAGTAGCCTGTGAAAGGCCCTGAGGTGGGAGTGTGTGTGTGTGTTGGGGTGGGGGGGAGAGGGGGGTGGGGGGGGGACGGTGTTTAAGGAACAGCAAGATGATTGCAGTAGAATGAGCAAGGGGAAGAGCTGTAGATGAGATCAGGAAGGTAAATCAAGCAGAGCTTCAGAATGTGTTGAGTTTTTGTGTAACTGAAAATACATTTGAGAATGTTAAGAAATAGAAACTATTTGTTTAAAGATGGGCTTAAGGTTAAAAACTCTAATTTTTATATTTTTATGAAAGATTTCACTATATGTTCATACTTTCAGACAAGTAAAATATTGTTTTGGGTGAGTTACTGCTAATGAGTTATTTTTGGTCTAAGATGATTTTAAAACTATACCAAAAATACACATTTATATCAACATTTATCCTGTAATATAATTATATATAGTAGTATTTCAGGAATGATATGGTATGATTTGTACTGTATCCAAATCTTTCAGACAATAAATTTGTATTGATAATTTTCTCTGTGATCTATAATAATAAAAGTGTAATTAGACTGGACAGCCGAACCTTCTGGACGTCATTCCTGACGAAGCCGTAGTGGCGGGGGCTAAGGCAGAGGCGGTTAGGGGCGATCAAGCAGACAGGTGAGCAGTTAGGGGCATCAGGCAGGCAGGCAGAGGTGGTTAGGGGTGATCGGGCAGGCAAGTGAGTGGTTAGGGGCAATCAGGCAGGCAAGAAGAGTGGTTAGGGGTGATTAGACAGGCAGACAAGCAGTTAGGGATCATCAGGCAGGCAGGAAGAGTGGTTAGGGGCAATCAGGCAGGCAGGCAGGCAGGCAGAATGGTTAGGGGCGATCAGGCAAGCAGGCAGGCGAGCAGTTAGGAGCCGCCGTCCCAGATTGCGAGAAGGTGCAGGCTGGGCTGAGGGCCCCTCCCACACCCTCCTCTAGTATGATATATAATTAAATCACTAAACAAGAATCAGTAGGACATAATCTAATGTTATTTAATACATGAGAAGGTTCGCTTTGTTCTTGTAAAACGTAATTCAGGAATGCTAATTTTAGCCCTAGCTGCTTTGGCTCAGTGGATAGTGCTTTGCCTCGGCCTGTCGACTGTAAGGGTCCTGGGTTCGATTCCAGTCAAGGGCACATCCCCAGTGGGGAGTATGCAGGAGGCAGCCGATCAGTGATTCTCTCTCATCATTGATGTTTCTATCTCCCTCTCCCTCTCCTTTCCTCTCTGAAATCAATAAAAAACATATTAAAAAAAAGAATGCTAATTTTAAATCAAGGTTTAACTGTGCTTTTTTTCTTCCTATAGTGCCGCTCAGATTCTTGAGGGGTATCCTGTTCTCTATTACACAAGGTTTGTCCTTTTTGAATGCAGATGTTAAAGCATCCCGGTTGGTTTGAGGACAAGTCTTAAAATAGTGAGAATTTTAATAACATGTTAAATTGGCATTTCTTCTTTTAGATTTAGAGAATTGTTCAAAGCCAAATTGGGACTACTTGGAGAAAGGAAGGGTGATGATGATTTAATTGCATTTCTCTTACATGTGAGTTTATCATTTAATCTCTTTTTCTGATTAACATTTGAATTATTAATTAGCATCTTCTCAAAGAACTGAGATTGATAAATATACTTATTTTCATTATTATTTTCATTAGCTCATGGAAAACACAGAAGCTGATTTTACAATGACATTTCGGCAGCTCAGTGAGATTACTCAAAGCCAGTTACAGGAGCTCAACATTCCTCAGGTATTCATTAGTGACATTTGGATTTTTTAACTGGGTTATTGAGGTATAATTTATATTCCATAAAATTTCACTCACCTTAAGTATACAATTCAGTGATTTTTAACTAATTTACACATTTGTGAAGTTATCACAATGCAATTTTGGAACAATTCCAACACACCTTGGTCCATTGTGCCCTTTTGCAGTCAGTCTCTGCTTCTACGCTCATCTCCCAGCAACTACTGATTTATTTTCTATGTCTCAAGGTTTTCATTTTCTAGACATTTCCTATAAATGGAATCATACAATATGTGGTCTTTTGCATCTGGCTTCTTCACTTTGCATATTTTGAGGCTCATTCATGTTGTAACCTGTATCAGTAGTTCTCGCCTCTTTACTTCATTGTATAGACATACCACATCTTACTGATCCATTAGGGTCATTTCCATCTTTGGATATTGTGGATAAACACTGCTCTGAACATTTGTGTACAAGTTTTTGTGTGAACACATGTTTCATTTCCCTCGTGTATATTCTAGGAGTGGAATTGCTGGATGGTTTAGTAAATTTGTTTAAATTTTAAATTTTAAACTGTTTCCAAAGTGGCTGCACTTAATTCACTTTTAAAAATATATGTTGCCGCCCTAGCCGGTTTGGGTCAATGGATAGAACTTTGGCCGGTAGACTGAAGGGTCCTGGGTTTGATTCTGGTTAAGGGCATGTACCTGGTCAGGGCACATGTGGGAGGCAACCAACTGATGTGTCTCTCCACTCTCTAAAAAAAAAAAAATCAATGGAAAAATATCAAGTGAGGATTAACAAAAGCGTATATGTTGCCTTTTCATTTCAATGATAATACATTGAATATATTGTTTATGGAATAATATGGGTATTGCCAGAAGATTTCTATTTACTATATATTTTTAGAAACATAGATCTATTTTTAAGGTCTCAGTCGTATATATTGCAGTTATTGTTTTTATCATTGTTGAGATTAAAACCTAGTCTTATTTTTTTCAATTTTAATTTCTTCATTATCTTTCTTCATGACATTCTCTATAATGTTATCTTTTTATAATTCAGAAGATATTCAGCCTCATTTATGCACTCATGCAACACGTACTTATTGAGAACTTACTGTTGTTGACAGTTTGTTCTGGGATAGACATTATAGTAAATGTTTTACAAAATAATAAAAATTTATTAATAATATAGTGACAGTAATAGCTAACATTTGAGTCCTTATTATGTTCTAGACACTATTCTAAGCATTTTGTATATAAAATCTGTGACATAACATATAAGGTAATACCATTGTGATATCTATTTTACTGATAAAGAAATGGAGGCATAGAGAGATTAGGTAACTAGCGCCAGGTCACACAGCTAGTAAAAGGCTGGCTAGATTCAAACACAGGCAGCTTTCCCCAGAGTTCATGCTGCTAGTAATTCCCAAGCTCTTTTTCATTTAAAAAAAGGATGGGCCAGTTCTTTCCTCAGTCCCTTGATCCAGGCAGTCACCAAAGGAAAGGTATCTTGGGCTAAGTCATAAGGCTTGGAATTAGAGTGGAGTTTGTGGAGTTTCCACAGTTGTTTTCATGTGTATGTTTAGGGGGAAGTGTTCTGTGGTGACTGGAGAGATCTGGCCCTGGCAGCAGATTAGGTGCTTCAAATTCAGGGTTCCCTTTTGACAGGCTGTGTGAGCTTGTACACATTACTCAGTTTCTCTAACCCTCACTTGTTTCACCTGTAAGATAGAATTAGTAGTAATGCCTACCTCATTGGTGCTCAATAATGTTGTCTAGCAGTAGAGATTTTAGACTTCTGGGGTGGTTTTCAGGCCGGCCATGCTCCCATCAGGGTGGGAGTCCCCACTGGGGACAGTGCCGGCCTGAGCGAGAGGCTGGGGCCGTTTGTAGGCCAGCAATGCTCCCATCGGGCTGGGGGGGGTCTTTGTTGGGGGTGGGGCCCGCCTGAGCGAGGGGCTAAAGGTCATTTGCAGGCCATCTATGCCCCCATTAGTGTAGGGGTTCCCGCTGGGGCGGGGCCTGCCTGGGCGAGGGGCCTGGGGCAATTTGCAGGCCAGCCAAGCCCCCGGCTTTGTCTGGAAGGTCTCTGGAAGGTCTCCCGGTCTAATTAGCATATTACTCTTTTATTAGTATAGGTACTAGAGGCCCGGTGAACAACATTTGTGCACCGGTAGGGTTCCTAGACCTGGCCGATGATCAGGGCCAATTGGGGCCTTTCGGTTGCCGGCTGGGGCCTCCCTTCCCTGGCTGCTGGCTGTCAGCTGGGGCCTTCCTTAGTTCTGCACCGCCTCCTGGTGGTCAGTGCACATCACAGTAAGCAATCAGTCTCCCGGTCAAACTTGTGGGGACAATTTGCATATTAAGCTTTTATATGTATAGATTTCTATGGCACTCATCCTATATAATAAAGAGGTAATATGCAAATTGACCATCACTCCAATACACAAGATAGCCGCCCCCATGTGGTCAGAGATGCCCGCCCCATGTGGATACAAGATGGCCGGCAGGGGAGGGCAGTTGTAGGTGATCAGGCCAGCAGGGGAGGGCAGTTGGGGGTGATCAAGCCTGCAGGGGAGGGCAATTGGGGGGGACCCAGGCCTGCAGGGGAGGGCAGTTGGGGGGACCAGGGCAGCAGGGGAGGGCAGTTAGGGGTGACCAGGCTGGCAAGGGAGGGCAGTTTGGGGGACCAGGCCTGCAGGGGAGGGAAGTTGGGGGGGACTAGGTCAGCAGAGAAGGACAGTTAGGGGCAACCAGGCTGGCAAGGGAGAGCAGTTGGGGGGACCAGGCTTGCAGAGGAGGACAGTTAGGGGCAACCAGGCTGGCAGGGGAGGGCAGTTAGGGGCAATCAGGCCAGCAGGGGAGCAGTTAGGTGTTGATCAGGCTGGCAGGGGAGTGGTTAGGGCAGGGGTGGGCAAACTTTTTGACTCGAGGGCCACAGTGGGTTATTAAACTGGACCGGAGGGCCAGAACAAAAGCATGGATGGAGTGTTTGTGTGAACTAATATAAATTCAAAGTAAACATAATTACATAAAAGGGTATGGTCTTTTTTTTTTTAGTTTTATTCATTTCAAACGGGCCGGATCCAGCCCACAGGCTGTAGTTTGCCCATGGCTGGGTTAGGGGGTGATCAGGCTGGCAGGCAGAAGCGGTTAGGGGCAGTCAGGCAGGCAGGCAGGCAAGCAGTTGGGAGCCAGCAGTCCTGGATTGTGAGAGGGGTCCCAGATTGGAGAGGGTGCAGGCTAGGCTGAGGGACACCCCCCCCCCATGCACGAATTTCATGCACTGGGCCTCTAGTATCCTATCTAATAAAAGAGAAACATGCAAATTGACCATACCCCCGAACGCTTCCCATTGGCTAATCAGGGCGATATGCAAATTAACTGCCAACCAAGATGATGGCCAGCAGCCAAGCATCTGAAGCGAACAGGAGGCTTGCTTGCTCCAGTGATGGAGGAAACCAAGGTTCCCCGCCTGCCACTGCCGGGCTCTGAGCTTGCACTCTAAGCAACTATGTTGCAATTATAGAAGCTAAACAATCCCCAGAAACCTGCTTTCAGCCAGCTTCGGCCTCAGAGCTTAGAGCGGCAGTGATGGCAACAGTATTTCAATTATAGAACCCAAACAAATCCAAATGCCTGCTTTCAGCAGCCCAGGCCTCAAGCTGGAGCCGAGCCTCAGAGCTAAAGTCGGCTCTCAGTTCCAGTGACAGCCATAGAAAGTAAATAAATCCCAGAATAAAAAAAGAAAAAGAAAAAAAGGAGAGTCTGGGAGCTTCAGTCACCTGCCAGCCTGAAAATGGCCCTCAGCCCCTCACCCAGACTGGACAGGCACCCCAGTGGGAACCCCTACCCTGAAGGGGGTGTGACCAGCTGCAAAAGCCATCATCCCCTCATCCAGGCTGTCCAGGCACCCCAGTGGGGACCCCCACCCTGATCCAGGACACCCTTCAGGGCAAACCAGCCGGCCCCCGCCCGTGCACCAGGCCTCTATACTATATAGTAAAAGGGTAATATGCAAACTGTCCCTAACAGCAGAATGACTGGGAATGACTGGTCACTATGACACACACTGACCACCAGGGGGCAGACGCTCAATACAGGAGCTGCCCTCTGGTAGTCAGTGCACTCCCATAGGGGGAGCTCTGCTCAGCCACAAGCCAGGCTGATGGCTGCCAGTACAGCGGTGGTGGTGGGAGTCTCTCCTGTCTCCTCAGTAGCGCTAAGGATGTCCGACTGCAGCTTAGGCCTGCTCCCCGCTGGCAAGTGGACATCCCCCGAGGGCTGCTGGGCTGCCAGAGGGATGTCTGATTGCCATCTTAGGCCCAATCCCCCGGGGAGCGGGCCTAAGCCAGCAGGTGGTCATCCCCTGAGGGGTCCCAGACTGCGAGAGGGCACAGGCCAGGCTGAGGGACCCCCCCTGTCCCCCAAGTGCACATATTTTTGTGCACCGGCCTCTAGTATATTTATAAATATGTATATTTCTAAAATGGAATTGAATATTTCTTTACACACTTTCCTTAAATACAGGGACCATGTCTTTTGTTTTTGTTAATCTTTGCCAGAGGATATTTTTTCCATTGCTTTTTAGAGAGTGGAAGGGAGGGAGGGAAGGAAAGGAGAGAAAGAGAGAGAGAGAAGAGAGAGACACAGAGATAGAGAAAGACCTCAATGTGAGAGACACATTGACTTGTTGCCTCCCGCAACCACCTCAACCAGGGGCAGGGAGCAAACCTGCAACCCAAGTGCATGCCCTTGACCAGGAACAAACCTTTGTTGCGCGGGCTGATGCTCTAATCACTGAGCTACACTGGCCAGGGTGGGACATGTCTTATTAATTTTTATATCCTTCCTACCTAATAAAATTCCTAACAATAGTTGATGTTGCATAAGTATTTGTTAAATGAATTAATAGATGACTAAATAAAATGCAGTTGCAAATTAAGTTATTAAAAGTAAATTATTTTAAGGAAGTTCCATATTTAAAGGAAAACTTGGTAATACAAGTATTCATGTGTATGTAATCTCTATCGGTAAGAACTTTGTATATTTTTCATTTCTCTTAAACCATGCCATTACATGGATGTCTATAAAATATTATTCCTTTTTAGTACTACTTCTACTTGAAATAGTATACTTGAAAAAATATGGATAGTATAAGAATGTAATTAAAAGAAACACAGTTAAAATAAACTGAACAAACATTAATAGAATAAGCAGTCTATTACTATATTTTCATTTAGCAATTTTGGGCACTGAAGATGATTTCAAAACATGAACTCTTTCCTGCCTGGGTGTCCCAGTACCTTTTGAGACTGAACAGGTAAGGTAATCTAATTTACAAAAAAGCATGTGACGTATTACTTTAGCATAGTCAATCCATCAGATCCCTCCCTTTCCATTTTTTACCATTTCCTTTTTACTCTTGGGTTCTTTGCACTGGTTGAGGCGTCTGCAGTAACACTTCACCCATGGGGAGTGCACTTATCTGTTCACCTCAGCTCTCTAACACACCGCTCCCCAGGCTTCCCAAGCCCTGTAGCAGGAGAGCTTCTTAGGCTTTTTACCCAGTGTTTACTTATTGGCACATCTTGTACAATTGTAAGAAGTTACTTTGTTTTGGAACTCAAATGAATTCGAAGCAACAAGCAAGAAAGAGTAAAGGAGTTGTAGGTAGAGGCAGCTGAAGGAAAACCACAGGACACAGGAGCAAATAGCCCATCACAGTTTAATGGCCACTGAGGGCCATTTATAAAGATTACCCTGAGTAATCAAGAAAAAGGTAAAATATTTTCAGAAAACTGTTTAAGGTAAGGAAAGGTTTCAGTCAATTTTTACACAAAAATATTTTTAACTTGTAAAAGTAAAAGGTTTGATATTATCTAAACTAACTAACCAAGGTAGTATTTTACATATTTTATCAACTCAGTATTTTCTATATTCCTTTTAGATACTGATCAATGTGATTAATTTTTTTTTCAATATTTGTCTTATGAAATAATTCCTACCCTTTTGGAAAAAAAAGATATAGTTTGGGAAGATGGTAGATAATTTTGTTTTTTGTTTTATTTATTTTTAGTAACACGAATAATTCAGATTTTGAAAGAAGAAAAAGAATGATGAGTAAGTAATCATTTTGATGTTTTAAAAACTTTAAATAATCACATAAAAGCAACATTTTAAAAACCAGAAGTAATTACGTGAGGGAACTGAGTTTGTTTTTTTTAAAACTAGAAGAATTCTAGATGAGTAAATTTTAGTTGAGTTGAAGTATCATATATGAGCTTTCTAATTCTAGTGGGTGATTTTTAAAATGTATATATATTTTTTTCTGATATTTTACAGAGAGGAAGGGAGAGGGATAGAGAGTTAGAAACATCGATGAGAGAGGAACATTGATCAGGTGCCTCCTGCACACCCCCCTACTGGGGATCGAGCCTGCAACCCAGGCATGTGCCCTGCCTGGGAATCAAACCTGGGACCTTTCATTCCACAGTCCGATGCTCTATTCACTGAGCCAAACCAGTCAGTGTTCTAGTGTGTAATTTTTAACTCAGAGGATGAAAGCTGTGTTTTTAGTAAGTTTCCATATTGGTCTAAAGTAATATAGTCTTAAAAGATGGTGGAGAGATAGGAAAATGGCTTGGGTTATGGTGGAAAGAACATGAGTTTTGGAATCTGGCAGATGAATCACATCTTGCCACTTTTAAAAAAAATCTTTATTGTTGAGAGTATTACAGATATCCCCCATTTGTCTCCCCATTGCCCCCCTCTACCAGGTTCCCACCCTGCCCCAGGCCTTCATCACCCTATTGTCTGTGTCCATAGGTAATGCATACATGCATATAAATTCTTTGGTTAATCTCTTTACAACTTCCTCCCCTCTTCCCTCTAAAATTCTTCAGTCTGTTCCATGTTTCCATGCCTCTGGTTCTGTTTTATTCATTAGTTTATTTTGTTCCTTAGATTCCTTATTTGTTTATTTGATTTTTAGATTCAATTGTTGATAGATACGTATTTATTGTCATTATATTGTTCATATTTTTTACCTTTTTCTTCACTGCTTTTCTCTTTCTGCTTTTAAGATTCTCTCTTTGTCTTTAACTTTGGCATTTTAATTATGATTGTATTGGTGTGGGCCTCCTTGGGTTCCTCTTGTTTGGGACTTCCTGTGTTTCCTAGACTTGTAAGTCTATTTCTTTCACCACATAGGGGAAGTTTTCTGTCATTATTTATTCAGATAGATTTTCAATATCTTGCTCTCTCTCTTCTCCTCTTGGCACCCCATAATGCAAATATTGGTATGCTTAAAGTTGTCTCAGAGGCTCCTTACACTATCTTTGTATTTTTGGATTCTTTTTTCTTTTAAAAATATATTTTTATTGATTTTTTACAGAGAGGAAGGGAGAGGATAGAGAATTAGAAACATCGACGAGAGAGAAACATCGATCAGCTGCCTCTGGCACACCTCCTACTGGGGATGTGCCCACAACTAAGGTATATGCCCTTGAGTGGAATCGAACCCGGGACCCTTCAGTCTGCAGACCGACACTCTATCCACTGAGCCAAACTGGTCAGAACTCTTTTTTCTTTTTTCTCTTCTGATTGGGTGTATTTTGTTTTTTCATATTTGATTCTTGGAATTCTCTACTCTACTATGGAATCCCTGTAAATTATTCTTTATTTCAGTTAGTTTATGCTTAATTTCTGACTGGTCCTTTTTCATGTCTTTGAAATTCTCATTAAGATCCTTGTAAATCTCAGTAAGTCCTTTGAAGCTCTCATTAAGATCCTTGAGCAACCTTTTAACCATTGTTTTGAACTTTGTATCTAGTACAGGGGTGGGCAACCCCTGGCACGCGTGCCAAACATGGCACGCCAGTAACTTTTGCTGGCACTCTCTTATAATCTTCCATTTACAATTTTTTTCTTAATATCGACTTTTTTATTTTTCAGATAAATTCAGTATAGGTTGCATCTTAGATAAATAAATAAGTTTACATGACAAGTTATCTTAAAGACCATAGACATGGATTGATGAGAGAGGGGAAGAGCAATTTCAATAGTGTCGAAAACGAACTATTGAGGACTTGGAATGCCATTCTAGAAAATTTTTTCTGTTTAAAAAAACTTTGCAACAGCGTTACTCTCCATGTTTTCATCCACATACGCTTGTGAATCTTTGTTCTCAGTGCTGAATTTTGTTGAGTCTTGTAATAGGAGTAGCCTGACGGATGTAAGTAGTAGCTCGTGCATATCTCTGAAGGTCACGAAATATGAACTTGATGTAAAATCTCTGTCATCAGTGATGCAGCAGCAAAGTCCCACTGATAATATCATAAAGTTTTCTGTCGGACTATCAGTGTACATGTATACATTAAAAAATAAATGTATTTTTCATCATCATATACCGTGTTTTTGTCGCTTGAATGAATTTTATTATTTCTTCAAGGTTCTTCACATATGTACACCTTAAGAGATATCAATTAGGCGTAACATGTTCTCAAAAAAATAGGGTAGGCTTGCAGAAGAATTTTGAGTCAGAGATTTTGCTGGTTTTGGCACGCACTCACAAAAAGGTTGCCCACCCCTGATCTAGTAGTTTGCTTGCTTCCATTTCATTTCGTTCTTTTTCTGGAGATTTCTCATGTTCTTTCATTTGTGACATGATTCTTTGTCTCCACATTTTGGTTACTTCCCTGTGTTTGTTTCTATGTATTAGGTAGATCTGCTATGTCTCCTGGAATTGGTAGAGTGGCCTTGTGTTGTACATGTCCCGTAGGGCCCAGTGGCTCAGCCTCCCCAGTCACCTGAGCTGGGCACTCTAGGTGTGCCCTTGTGTGGGCTGTGTGCACAGTCTTGTTGTTGAGCCTTGATTGCTGTTGGTATTACAAGGAGGAATTGACCTCCAGGCCAATCAGCTGTGAAGACCAGCTGCTACTACAGTGGAAGAGCTGCTGTGCAGGAGACACCTCTATGGAGCAGGACTTGCTTCAGTGGGGGCTTTCGTGCTCACTGAGTCTTCCCCTTGAGTGTGTTGCTTGTGGATTTGTAGAGTTGTGATCCGGTATGGTCTGAGACTGTCCATCAGGTGCACTGGCTCTGGTCTCCTAGGAGGAGCAAAATCAGCCACTGCCTGGAGCCACCCAGTAGAAGATACAGAGCAATCTTTAGATGGCTACTACTTGTGTTGGGCTTAGAAGTGCCCAGGCAATGCCAAGCTGTCTTGGGCCCCTTATTGATAAGTATAGGGCTCGCTGACACAAGCTGTTGCTTGTTTGAGAGATTTTAGGAAAGTCTGAAGCCTGAACCAGCACAGGCCATTCATATGGAAAAGATGCTGCAAACAGCTTGGATGGGGCTGCAAGTTGGATGGGGTGGGATCTCAGGGAATCACCAGGGTGGAGCAAACAGTGTGAGCCAGGTTGATGGAAACTCAGATATGGCCGCCAGTCAGCTCTGCAACAGGGAAGGTCCCAGCATAGGAGCAATGGCCTCTGTGAAAATCCCTGTCTGGGAGAAAGCTGTCCCTAAATTCTTGCCCCAATGCCAGACAGTCCAGTTGCTCCCTGTATGTCTCTGGATCCCCTGAGCTTTTTCTCCAAAGGGAGTGCTGGAGCTCAGAGGAAGTAAGTCCATGTAAGTTTCCTTTAAAAGGAAATGCCTGGGTCACTGAGCCATAATCCCTGCTGGTTTTTCCAGCCCGAAGTTACAGGGACTTCTTTTCCCAGCTCTGGAACCCTGAGCTGGGGATCTGGTGTGGTGCTGGGACCCCTTGCTCCTCATGAGAGCCCTCCACAGCAGAAATATCCCTCCCTATTGAAAAAAAAAAGCCACATCCATGGGTGTTGGACCAGCCTATTCCGTGCCTTCCCCTTATCAGTCTCTGTGGGCTTTCTTCTTTTTCTTTTTTTTTAAAATTTAAATTCTTAATTGTTGAAAGTATTACATATTTCTCCTTTTTCCTCCATTGATCTCTCCTCACTCACTTTCACCTCCCAGCACAGGCTCTCAACCCCTCTACTCTCTGCCCCTCCTACTAGTCTCATGTACTTTCTCCTTCTGCTCCTTCTCCTCTTCCTTCTCTTCCTTCTTCTCATCCTTCCCTCCTCCTCCTCCTCCTTCTCCTCCTCTTTCTTCTCCTTCTCCTTCTTCTTCCTTTTCAATCTTTATTGTTGAAAGTATTGCATAGGTCCTCCTTTCCCCCCCATTAACCTCTTCCAGCCCAATCCCGTCCTCCCTGCTCCTCCCCCCAGGCCCTCACCACCTTATTGTCCATGTCCACAGGTTATGCATATATGCATACAAATTCATTGGTTTATTTCTTCCTACCCACCCTCTCCTGCCTTCCCTCTGAGGTTCAACAGTCTGTTCATGCTTCTATGACTCTGGATCTATTTTTGATCATCAGTTTATTTGGTTCATTAGATTCCACATATGATATGAGTGAGATCATGTGATGCTATTTACTCTGACTGGCTTATTTCACTCAGCATAATACTCTCCAGGTCCATCCATGCTGTGGCAAATGGTAAGAGTTCTTTTTTATTGCCACGGTATTTCATTGTCTAAATGTACCATAGTTGTTTTATCCACTCATCTTCTGATGGGCACTTAGGCTGTTTCCAAGTCTTAGCTATTGTAAATTGCGCTGCTATGAACATAGGGGTGCATATATTCTTTCTGATGAGTGTTTCAGGTTTCTTAGGATATATTCCTAGAAGTGGGATGACTGTGCTTTCTTCTTTACTTCTATAGTTGTAGGACTTCCCTTTAGCCAGCTTTCATGTGGTTGTGAATGATCATTGTTCTGTATCTTAGTTGTAATTTTGATGTGGTTATGGCATTTACCCATGCTGCCATCTTGGTTCCTGAATTTTTTCATTTTGCCACTTTTTAGATGTGTAATCTGAAAGATATTTAACTCTCCCAAGTTTTAAGGCCCTTAGCTTTGTAAAATTGGGATATTTTGCAAGTATGTTGTAATGATGAACAATAATGCATGTAAAGTGTCTTGTTACAGTGCCTGGGCCATAATACACATTCAAATGATAGCTCTAAAAATAAATCACCTTTATATATTGATTTCAGTTTGCTATGTGACTCTTGGCTTGGAGAAAGAA